CCCTTAGTACCAATTATTATATAACTATACTACCCACCGACATAGTCCATAATATATAATCACCCAATCTCCACCCATCATTGTTAATTACCCCTTAGTACCAATTATTATATAACTATACTACCCACCGATATAGTACATAATATATAATCACCCAATCTTCACCCATCATGGTTAATTACTCCTTAGTACCAATTATTATACAACTATACTACCCACCGATATAGTCCATAATAGAGTTATTAATGCAGTAACCCAACTCCCATACACCCTGGCAATTATCCATTATTAATTATTAGTAATTAATACAGAACTATACTACCCAATAATATAGTTCATCGTCACCCAACATTCACCTCAAACGCGGAATTTAGAAACTTTTTTCTTCTTTTTTTTGTGTGTGTGTGAATGCCACTTTTCAGTCACTCTGGTATTTGAGTTTCGACACAGATTGAATGAGTTACTAATTCGTGAAATTCTCTGAATTTCCAGCAATCGACACTTAATCTTAGCTCTAATTTAAATACTTCATTCTGCAGCATTGTCCACAGGACGCTTAGTCGAACATAGGCTTGGCGTTAATTTTTACAGCAAATACGTGAAAATTTAGAAATATAAACAGTGAATTACAACCAACTGTAGGAGAATTAAGTATATTTTTTCATACAGTTTCCGTTTGTCACGTTATTTTAACTATTTTGCAAAATTCCGTACATGAAATACTGTTTCAGGTAGCTATTAGCACGTTTATTTAAAAGGATGAATTCGTAGAACGAGTACCTCATAAGCCGTAAAAAAATCAATATATTTGTTTTCGTTTTGTTCATGTTAATATAAAATGTTTTTAAAAAAAGTTATGAACATGGCAAGAGTTATTGTAAAACATGCCCCCCCCCCCAGTGGCACAGTGGTATGTTTGCGGACTTACAACGCCACAATCCGGGTTTCGATACCCGTGGTGGGCAGAGTACAGATAACCCATTGTGTAGCTTTGTGCTTAATTACAAACAAACAAATGATAAAACATTAAAAATATACAACTTGTGAATAAATATAAATAACTAAGTTTATTCAAAATGTGAAAAAGTTAACTGATAAAAGAGTTAGAAAAATTATTTTATTGGAACAGAAATACAGTCTTCCTTTTCCTTTATTTTATATTTTTTTGTTACAACCTAGAAGTCAGTAGTACGATCAGGAACAAACCAAGCATACGATACTACCTACAATTGTATACAACATGTACGTGACGTTACGGCAGAATGTCAATACAACGGTCAAGGGAACATTTAAAACAACAAACCATATCAACTCACCAATTTTTGCTAAACCTGCAACGAATATCCATAAGGCTATAATATAAGGAGTGGAGACGTGGAGAAAGTCAATTGTGGCAACGTGATAACGATGAATCTTATGCTCTTCGTTGACATGTTCGGCAGGCTCACTCCTTTCAAGACGCGCAACATTTATCTCTGAAGCGGTTAAGACGGACGGAACTTCGGAACTTTTCTCCAGGTGTGCTAAAGAAGTTTTCCTTAGACTGCCTTCATATTCTTCTTTAAGGGCAGCGAATGCATTATTAAAGTTGAAAATAAAGCAGGCTAAAATAATCCCCGAACGTGTTCGTAAGGCAGAAATTTGCATACTGGAGCTTGCTGAATTATTTCAAAAGTATGAATCGAAATGTCACACAAAATTTCGATATTTTTTTATACAACTATTTAATTACTTTGAAATATAGATGAGATTTTCGTATTAAACAAACGCCAATAAACGTATGACCTCTAATAGAAAAAGCACGGCTTTTAATATGTCATGCGACAAGAAGTTATTTCCTCAAAACGCCGCTTTGCATCGACGCTCCTGTACTCGGTTTTTAATTGGTTGTTCATCAGTGACTCAAACCACTACAAGTGGTGCCTTATCACGCATATTTTCTTCTCATATCAGCCGAATGATACTGAGTTGAAACGCACACTTGTGTGGTTAATGGGTTAAATAAGATTTCTCCTCGCCCGGACTATTCGCAGAAATGATGTATTGCTATTAGTTTTATCAGAACATGTATAATCAAATCAGATTTTGTAATTTGAAATCAACAATACTGAAATATATATTCATGATAGTTTGGGGCTTGGCATGGGCACGTAATTAGGGCGCTATACTTGCAACTTGTCAGTCGCGAATTCGAATATATCAGTGAACATGCTCGCCCTTTCAGTCCTGGAGGTGTTCAAATGTGGTCAGTTGCACTTCTCGTTAATAAAAGAGTAGCCTAAGAGTTAGCGGTGGGTAGTGTTGACTAACTGCCTTTCATCTAGTTTATCACTTCTAAATTAGGGACAGCTAGTGTAGATAGCCCTCGAATAGCTTTACGCGAACTTCAACAAACAAACAAAAATTTATAATAGTTTTCCATACCTAATTATTTATTTACTTGTCATGTGATTAACGTATAAAAAAGAGGAAGGTATCAATGAACGTATGAAAACAAGTAAGAAAACTGAATATACGGAACAACAAAAAATGCCCCCCCCCCCTCCAAAAAAAAAACAAGCAATATCTTTAACTTTGACCCGTGGATCACAGAGCAAACAACGTGTGCAATGAGTGCCGTATTTTGTCCAATGGTACAAGATCGGTTTTCAATTTATTTAAAATATGATTTTCATTGAGAACTTGACCTCTGACTTACATACGTACTATAAGTCATTGTATGTATGCAGAACCGGAGTAGTCACCGTATACCGTTGGCTCAGCGATGAGCTTGAGAGCGTATAATGCTAAAATTCGGAATTAGATCCTTACAACGCGGTCAGACCATCATTCAACTAAGCCCTTAAATAAACGACCGAACTAGTCTCCATGGAGACCATTGGCTATGTTATTTCTTAGTTCATTCTTCGCTGATTCGTGTTGAATGGTAGACTGTTTCTATTGTTTGAATTTCAACTTCAGTTCTTCTTCCAAAAGACGACGTTGACACGAGAAATAGGCAGCAGATTTCTGTAAGTAACGATTTGTAGTTTGAAAGTAAAGGAATTTGGGGATGACTTGATGGTGTTTCTAAGTTGTTAAGAATTGAATGTCCAAGGATAATTTCCGGAATTTGAGGTCATTTTTTTTTTCAAGCGAACGAAATAGCCGTAGAGTACCATTCCCATATCGCTGTTTAATAAACACTAGCAACAGATTCATTCGACGGGAATCTACGTTTAATGATGAACAACAAAACGACGACAGCAACAACGAACATTTGACACGTGTGTGTGTACAGTAACAAACATTTAATTCTTGAACGTTTCGGAATATACATATTCCATCACCAGCAAGCTACATAGAAACAGTCTACGATTCAACAAGAATCAGCGAAGAATGAACTAAGAAATAACGTATCGTGGATCGACTATAACCACCTGATTAATAATATCTGAATCTTGATGAAATTTCTTGTTTCATTGTACTAGTGGTGACATACTACAAGTAAGCTGAAACATATTGTTACCACAGCGGAAGTCACGTGACGCTAGTAACACGTATAGAGTATCTCAAACGTTCCTGAAGGCTCGAGTGTTTGCTAGACGCCCTCTGTTTTGTATATATAAGACCGCCGAGAAGTAACAGCATAAAATAATTGAATTGCAGGCCGGCAGGGATAGAGACGGACAGTTGAGTCAAGCACGGTAGTAAGTAAAGTGCGTGAATCGTTCGTTGTGAATTATAGCGTGTGTTGAAGTTAAAGTAACTGTGGAAATTAAGTGTATTTCAAAATTGAATTGAGAAAGAATAAACTAGTTTTATTTAAGAAAAGACTTGTATCGCTGAAGTTTCTCGGAAAATTAACAAACGGACCAGAGACGTAACAATATGAACTCATACGCTATTTCCGAATTGTATGCACGTCACTGGCACATCTACCAAGTTTGAAAATACAAGACTGAACATTTTCAGCATGCTTATTATGGAAAATGTTCAAAAAATCTTAATAGTTCGGTGACCGAAGTAAAAGTCTTTCAAGACTTCGTTAGTATTATAAGTGTAATCAAATTTTTTTAGTGGGTGGTGGTCTTGGAGCATTGGCGAGAGATACGTAAATAAACATGTATCTGAAACTTTGTACTAAATGGCAATCAAATTGTAAAATAAAAATATTATTCGTATAAAGCTGTTACACACTTGTGGCATTGATTTTAGTTTTGCCTAGATATGAATAGACTTATAGAAAAACCTTGGTAACAGGATAAAACTAAGACTCTGATTTAAATACGGTATCAGGGACTGAATTTTTCTTTAGAATTTCGCACAAAGCTACCCAAAGGATATCTGCGCTAGCCGTCTCTAATATAGCAGTGGTAGACTACATGGAAGGAAGCTTGTCAACACCACCCACTGGCAAACTTTAGGACTACTCTTTTACCAATAAATAATGGGATTGACCGTCACATTATAATTTCCCCAAGGCTGAAAGGACGAGCATGTTCGCTGACGAGATTCGAACTCGCGACCCACGAGTCCACGCGAGCACGATGGCGAGTCGAACGTCCTAGCCTCCAGGCCATGCCAGGCCTCATGAGCTGAGGCCAGAGAGCTCAGGTTCATCATGGGCTTACTGAGATGTATTGAAATAAATGGTAACCTTTTACTGTAGTAATAAATCATAGGAAGTAAACAATGGAACAGTTAATTAAACTGTTTGATAAGAATGGCTGTAAAATCACGGAACATTTATTGAACTTCAGCGTCCGTTTCTCCTTTTGTGAAATATCAGTTTTATCTAACGTGTGACAACAGAGTTCCAAACATGAGCTGAGATCCACGATAGCCTAAAATACATAGTTTGTTACACTTACAATGCACTACAGAGCAGCAGCTTTTGTCTGGGTTAATTCAATTTACACTTGTTCAACGCTGCACAGTGTGGTAGTATTATATTCTAAAGGCAACAGGTAATTCACAAGACAACAAAATATCAGGGGAGACACCTTCCCCCCAACATTTCACACAGACAATTTTAAAATAATACTCAGAATGCGATCTTGGATAATCTAGTGGTAAATAGTGTTTTCTATATTTCTTTGGTGACCGTCCATGTTTTTACAAAGAGACGAGAATAAGACAAAAATTGTACACAACTGGGAGAACTGACTTTGTCTGTTTGCTTGAAGTTAAGCACAAAGCTACACAATAGGCTATCTGTCCTCTGCCCACCACGGGTATCGAAAACCGGTTTCTAGCGTTGTAAGTCTGCAGACATACAGCTGTGCCACTGTGGGTAACTTTATCTGAAATCGAATATACACAGCCAGAGTCCTAGAATATCAGCACCGTGTGTCTAAACCTATTCATTAACAACTAAATATAGCCTAGAAACGGACTTGTAATACATGTGGAAATCTCTAAAGCTAAGATCAGCGCCGGTCCAGAATAAATACATATTCATGTTTTCGGAATACTTCACCTCTTCTGAAATTCTGAAGAAGAAAAAAACACCTTCATTAATTATACTCCTTTTCTATCTTATAAGAAAGTGGAGTTTATGTGTGACTCAATAAAAGAAGTTTAGCATAGTGGTGGATTAGTTACTCAAGCCATCGAAGCAATGCTCAGTTACTATGGTTGTAAAGCTAATAGAATTACATAATATTTATAGATATATTGATTACAAGCCAATAATAGTAATTATCTCTCTGTAAAAATCATTAGCTCGGCGGCTTAACTTAAGCCACACTTTACAACACTGTATACAGTTTTGTTCTCTTTATCTAAGAAAAGATTCAGAGAAGGGTTACTAGAATGATTCTAGTTACTAGGAATGAAAGGGTTAATGCATAGAGATAAGTTTAAGACCTCTTAACTCACTTTATCTTGAGAAAAAAAGGGCAGGAGGTGATGTGATTGAACTCTCAAGGTTATCTGTGGAGTCGATAGGATACAGACCTCTGATTTCTTTGTGCTGTATTCTGAAAATAATAGGACGAAAGGGCACAAGTTTAAGATTTGGGAAAACGCAGGATAGGTTCCAGTTTTGTTTTTCTAACAGGCTAATTGGCTTATGAAATGCATTGCCGTCAGCAATATCGGAGACAGGGCTAGACTTAGCCTAGTAGTAACTTATGAGAATATTGTATTTTTAGGTCCTATCTATGGAATTGTATATAATTTTCAAAATGTTTCAATGTCGGTAGAGTCCCCACAGCATTAGGTGCTCCAAGGATGCTGTTCGGTCAACCCTTGCATTAATCAGGCACTAAGATGAAGTCACTACTTTACAATAATATTAACGGAGAATCAATGATTTCCTGAAAAATATAATATGTGTTTAAATATTTACTTTTGCCTTTGGTGAGTGTGAAAGGGTGTGTCAGTACGTTATGTTATGACGTTGGGTCATAACAGTGAAACGCCAATTCAAGACATTTGTAGGATAAAACAAGAAGATTGATCGAACTAGATGACGTAAAAAAAAAGAGTGAAAAAACTGAGCCGTTAGCAACGACTACTGCATTCATTAAAACAACACAGTAATCACATACAAACACTGATTTAAATTTTCTAAAAGAAACAGCTCTGGCATGATCAGGTGGTTAGGGCGCTCGACTCGCAATCTGAGAGTCGCGGTTTCGAATCCCCGCCCCACTAAAAAC